ATATTTTTTTTTTTTTGCTAGTCTTTCAGCTGGCCTGTACAGACAGGAGTTAGAATCCCTGCCTCTCTCAGAGCCCCACCCTCTTGGTCCAGATGTGGACAGATTCATTTGTGTTTGAGGGGACATGTGTGGTTGGGAAAAGATAACCTCTGCCTCATGCAGGTAAGTCTTGAGCTAAGCTGCAAGGTGGTTATGTAGGGATTCCCTTAAGGGGAAGAATACATTATGCTTTTGAAACCATGTCATCTATGCACGTGTTATCTTCATATGTTTTCATTTTTGTTTTGAGCCTTTGGTAAAGTCTTGTTTTAATGATTTGAGACCTTTCCCACCCACATCACAGGAGTTAAGCCCCTCTGGGGTCAGAGCATTAAAGGAAAGAGAGCTGTGCCCAGTCTGCAGTCACAGGGGGGCAGCAGTGGAAATTAATGAGCATGCCCCATAAGAGAGCAGATCTTGGGGAGCAGGAGGAGTTGGAGGCACAGGGTCCAGCTACTCACCCCATGTGGTGACTCCCCATCCATTTTCATGTTTGGAGGCTCTGTCCTGGTTATTTAAAGGATAAAGTGGGTTCCGTTAAACTATCCAGCTAAGAAGCTGTCCTGTTAGCATAGGCCATAAATTGTTCTATTCTTAAAAAGACCCAGTGGTCCACCCACAAAAAGGATATAAAAAATTGAGGGCTCCATGCCTAGGTATACATCCAACAGAAATGAAAACATGTCAACATAGAAACTTGTAATCGTTGTTCATAGCAGCATTATTCATAGTAGCCAAAAAGTGTAAACAACCACAGATTTCCTCAACTGATGAACAGAAGAATAAAATGTGGTGTATCTATACAAAAGAGTGTCATTCAGCAGTAAAACGGAATGAAATATCGATACATGCTGTAACGTGGATGAACCTGGAAATCATACTAATGAGGAAAACTAGGCAGAAAAGGACAGATATTTTCTGATCTCATTCATATATAATGTCCAAAATAAGCTATAGAGACAGAAAGCAGATTAGTGGTTTCCAGGGGCTGGGAGGAGGAAGAGATGGGGAAGAACTACTTAAATAGGTAAGGGGATTCTTTTAGGGGTGATGAAAATGTTCTGGAACTGGATAGTGGTTGCATAACATTGTGAATGAAGTAAATGTCACTGAATTGTATTAAAATGGTAAATTTTATGTCTATTTTCCCACACAAAAAATGAAGTATCGATACATGCTATAACATGGATGAACCTTAAAAACATTGTGTTAAGGGCCAGCCTGGTGGTTAAGGGCCAGCCGAGGGTTCGGATCCCACATACAGACCGGCCGCTCACTGGCTGAGCGAGGTGCGGGCGCGACACTGAGGGTTGCGATCCGTTGCCGGTCACGAAAAAAGACAAAAAAAGGAAAAAAAACAAAACAACAACAACAACAACAAAAAAAAAACATTGTGTTAAATAGAAGAAGGCAGTCACAGAAGATCACATATTGTACAATTCCATTTGTGTGTTATAAATAAAATCTGCTCTGACCAGGTCAGCTAAATTGTAGTTCCTTGGGAAATCAGGATGAGTCTGTAGTCATGTCTCATGTCTCGATCCTGTTGCCGGTCCCGGTCCAGTACGGGCGCGACACTGAGGGTTGCGATCCGTTGCCGGTCACGAAAAAAGACAAAAAAAGGAAAAAAAACAAAACAACAACAACAACAACAAAAAAAAAACATTGTGTTAAATAGAAGAAGGCAGTCACAGAAGATCACATATTGTACAATTCCATTTGTGTGTTATAAATAAAATCTGCTCTGACCAGGTCAGCTAAATTGTAGTTCCTTGGGAAATCAGGATGAGTCTGTAGTCATGTCTCATGTCTTGCAAAATGTTATCATAAAACCATTTTAACTTAGAAGCAGACATACTGGCACCAGAAAAGTAATAAAATAATCTAGAATGCCACCTATAACCCTTACACTAGGTCCCTACATGGAGGATGTAACTAGTAACAATCCCAAATCTATACGTCAGGTGCAAAAGAGAAAAACTGGTCTAATGATTGGGGGCTGTCCTCTTCTCTCTCTCCTTTGATTCTCCCCCCTTCTTGTGGTTATAAAATGCTAAGTCCTGCTGGCCCTCTCTGGAGGGTGTTTCTCAGGGTGACCTGACCTGTGTGTTTCCCCAGTTGCAATTGTCATATTGGCTCAATAAATCCTATGCCTTATATGTTCGGCCTCAGTTTCTTTTAGGTCAACATATAAAATATCCAGAATAGGCTAATCTATTGACAGAAAGATTAGTCATTGTCTGGGGCTGAGGGGAGAGGGGATTAGAGACCTATGGTGAGGAGGTATTGAGTTTCTTTTTGTGGTGATGAAATGTTCTAAAATTGATTGTGGTGATAGTTACACAACTCTGGATGCACTAAAAATCATTGAATTGTGTATTTTAAATGAATGAATTCCATCTCAATAAAGCTGTTACACACACACAAATATTGTGAGACTAATAGCCGATACCTAGGTAGCAGAGTATTATGATCCAACTCTCCAACAATATAGGTAGAAGAAATGACTGTTCTAACTTGTACTTGATAAGGTAGAGACTCAAAACAATGGGGCTCAATGTTGAGACACAGATTTATTACTACTGACCAAAAGCAAGGCTTTGGGAGTGGGCGTTGGATGGCTTCACTCAAATGTGCTCTTACTTGGTCACCATAAAACTGTAGGGACAAAGGAAACTTTCCTCCTTCTGAAGATTCAGTCATTTGAGTCTATAAAACAAACTGACAATAGACTGACAGGAGAAAAGGCATATAAAATGTAGGTAGCAAGTGGAACTGCATTCTAATTCTTAGAATGAGTAAAGACGAGGTCAGTGTGTTTGTTGGCATAATTGTGTGAGTACATAACACACCTCTGACTTTATACTTTACCTGTGCAGCACATTTTGTAAAACATGAGCATTGTGCAAAATATATGAGGGTCTTAAAATTGTTCCTAAAGCTCTCTCTTTATTCTTTGATATTCAAAATTTTCTCTTTACTGCCTACTTTATCATTATCCTTTTTTTGTCAATTTTCTCTTCTTCAAGCAAAGGCTTTGGTTTATGTCACTATTTGCGTTTCCATCAGTGAACACTATTTCTTTAGGCAATTCAAAACCAGCAGCAGACATCTGGTGGGGTTGTTGGATGCACAGGAGTTTTGGGAGCAAGGGTTGAACACGGGGACAGGTGCAAGGCGTGTAACCATGATGGCTAGGTACCGTGGTGATCCTGGGTTTTGAGGAGCACCTGGGCTCCACTTCCAGCACCTGCTAGAAGCAAACCTCCTGTGTACAGTGCTGACCAGAGCTGTGTGCACTACCTCCTGGGTGGACCTTTCCTTTCGACTCTTTCCTCTCGTCTTCCATTCCCCTGTGGGGCTCTTCTTCCTGGCAGTTTGTCTGAGAATACAGATCAACCTGCAAAATCGAATTTCCAGGACATCACCCTGAGCGAGACTTTGCTGATTTTTCTCTTTGCCAGCACCATCTTACACCTTATGGACAAGAACAACCTTGGCTAAATATTTCTTCTTTTCTTAATGGAGATGTAAAAGCTAAAAAAACATTTTTTTTCTTTTTCCACCTAGATAAAAGTTCTTCAGGTATCAGCTCATGAATACACATAAATTTTTTCATATC